AATAATTATAATTATTATTATTATTATGTTCAACGTCTTTGTCTAAAGACTGACTAAAATGGCCGTTAAAATTGCGATTGATTAGATATACACTCTTATTGTAAGCGTAATGTAAGAAGTAGATGAATATAACAAGCAAATTAGACATTTATTATTAAAAAATGAACAAACTTACAGTATTTATAAAAGTAAAAATAAATAAATTTAGTTAAGCGAAAAATAATATGCATGCACATTTTTATTTCTAAATATCCGAATTTGGAATATCCGAAACGAGCTCCATTTATCTTTTATATTAGTTTTGTGACACAATAGTCTAATTTTAACTAAACTATAATTTTGTTTACAATATATAAGAAATATATTGCTATCTTTATGAGTTTAATTCAGTCAAACACACAAATTTATTAGTCTTGTTTGAAAATTGTCGTCAAATTTGTGATTTAATTGAATCAAGCTGGTGCTCTAATTATGACGTCATTATGTCGTCATAGTAACCAGAAATGCCTAATAAATGTCTATTTTGAAAATGTAACACATTGTACTATACACCTTTAGTTTGGTGCTTAGTGCACCTTGTTCTTTTATCCTTTTTATGAGATGATTACTTTTGCTGAACCACAGGCCTATTGCACCGCGAAGCTTAAACGGTTAAAGTGTGTTTGCACAAGAAAATCTCATATTTACTGTGTTCCGGATAGCAACTATAACAATGTGACGTAGCGCATACACGAGCTGATTATTGTCTTTATTTGCATGTTAAAATTCGTATACGAACTTTAGTGTTACCGTGGGGTTTTCCGTTTAAAATCCTAATTTATGAACAATATTTGATGAGATTTACAAGATAACTGTTAAAAAGGTTTATGAAACTGTATAATGCTTGTTTTTTAGGCCGACGGCAAAATATTTTTACATATTGATTTAATGTAACTTTAATTATATGACAAAAACGGCTTCGCTTGCAATTTATCACTTAATATAAAGATAATTAAAATATTAAACAAGTCTTGCCTAGAAAAGGCTCCTTATTCGTTATATAGTTATAGGCAAGTAGACTTAGTGTGTTTTCTTAAGAAATCCGTGGATCTAAACATGACTCACACAGAATCTTGTGTTTAAGACGGTTTTTGTGATTTTTTTTATTCAGCAAAACATAGCTGCACAAAAAAAACGAGGGAAACCAGCATAATATTCGTGGAATTGGAGATTGTATTTTTTTCGTGACAATATTGTGATTATTTATTCAACAGAAGCACGGAAAGAAAATAACGCCAAGCATGAATGGTTCAGCGTACGAAAATAACATAAGTTTAAAGCTATCATTTTGGTGTATACGACCTCGGTGAGTCGGTAAATAGGGCACCCAGAACGCCACGATTATTTTAATGAAATACCCGGTCAATTAACCTAATACTTTTTCAAAACTTGAATTTCAGAAAAGCTTCATCAGTCACAGTAGATGGTGTACGGAAAGGGATATATTAGGTTATTTCTTGTTGATTAAACTTTCTCTGCTTTATATATATAATTAATATACATAAACTATAAAGACACTTTTCTACTTTCACGTCATTTTATATTTTGCAGATAAAACGTGTGATATTTTAAGATATAATTTGCTCTTATTGCTCTTATTATGCCCCCATTTCGAAGAAAAGGGGGTATATTGCTTTGCACTTGTCGGTCCGTCGGTCCGTCGGTCCGTTGGTCCGTCGGTCCGTAGACCAAATGGTTTCCGAGTGATAACTAAAGAACCCTTAGGCCTAGGAACTTCAAACTTGGTATGGTGATTGGTCATGACCAGTAGATGACCCCTATTGATTTTGGGGTCAAGGGGTCAAAGGTCAAGGTCACATTGACCTGGTAAGCAAAAACGGTTTCCGATCAATAACCAAAGAACCTTAAGGCCTAGGAACTTCAAACTTGGTATGGTGATTGGTCATGACCAGTAGATGACCCCTATTGATTTTGGGGTCAAAGGGTCAAAGGTCAAGGTCACATTGACCTTGTAAGCAAAAACGGTTTCCGATCAATAACTAAAGAACCTTAAGGCCTAGGAACTTCAAACTTAGTATGGTGATTGGTCATGACCAGTAGATGACCCCTATTGATTTTGGGGTCAAAGGGTCAAAGGTCAAGGTCACATTGACCTTGTAAGCAAAAACGGTTTCCGATCAATAACTAAAGAACCTTAAGGCCTAGGAACTTCAAACTTAGTATGGTGATTGGTCATGACCAGTAGATGACCCCTATTGATTTTGGGGTCAAAGGGTCAAAGGTCAAGGTCACATTGACCTTGTAAGCAAAAACGGTTTCCGATCAATAACTAAAGAACCTTAAGGCCTAGGAACCTCAAACTTAGTATGGTGATTGGTCAAGACCAGTAGATGACCCCTATTGATTTTGGGGTCAAAAGGTCAAGGTCACATTGACCTTGTAAGCAAAAACGGTTTCCGATCAATAACTAAAGAACCTTAAGGCCTAGGAACTTCAAACTTGGTATGGTGATTGGTCATGACCAGTAGATGACCCCTATTGATTTTGGGGTCAAAGGGTCAAAGGTCAAGGTCACATTGACCTTGTAAGCAAAAACGGTTTCCGTTCAATAACTAAAGAACCTTAAGGCCTAGGAACTTCAAACTTGGTATGGTGATTGGTCATGACCAGTAGATGACCCTATTGATTTTGGGGTCAAAGGGTCAAAGGTCAAGGTCACATTGACCTTGTAAGCAAAAATGGTTTCCGATCAATAACTAAAGAACCTTAAGGCCTAGGACATTCAAACTTGGTATGGTGATTGGTCATGACCAGTAGATGACCCCTATTGATTTTGGGGTCAAAGGGTCAAAGGTCAAGGTCACATTGACCTTGTAAGCAAAAACGGTTTCCGATCAATAACTAAAGAACCTTAAGGCCTAGGAACTTCAAACTTGGTATGGTGATTGGTCATGATCAGTAGATGATCCCTATTGATTTTGGGGTCAAGGGGTCAAAGGTCAAGGTCACATTGACCTTGTAAGCAAAAACGGTTTCCGATCAATAACTAAAGAACCTTAATGCCTAGGAACTTCAAACTTGGTATGGTGATTGGTCATGACCAGTAGATGACCCTATTGATTTTGGGGTCAAAGGGTCAAAGGTCAAGGTCACATTGACCTTGTAAGCAAAAATGGTTTCCGATCAATAACTAAAGAACCTTAAGGCCTAGGACATTCAAACTTGGTATGGTGATTGGTCATGACCAGTAGATGACCCCTATTGATTTTGGGGTCAAAGGGTCAAAGGTCAAGGTCACATTGACCTTGTAAGCAAAAACGGTTTCCGATCAATAACTAAAGAACCTTAAGGCCTAGGAACTTCAAACTTGGTATGGTGATTGGTCATGATCAGTAGATGATCCATATTGATTTTGGGGTCAAGGGGTCAAAGGTCAAGGTCACATTGACCTTGTAAGCAAAAACGGTTTCCGATCAATAACTTAAGAACCTTAATGCCTAGGAACTTCAAACTTGGTATGGTGATTGGTCATGATCAGTAGATGACCCCTATTGATTTTGGGGTCAAGGGGTCAAAGGTCAAGGTCACATTGACCTTGTAAGCAATAACGGTTTCCGATCAATAACTAAAGAACTTAAAGGCCTAGGAACTTCAAACTTGGTATGGTGATTGGTCATGATCAGTAGATGACCCCTATTGATTTTGGGGTCAAGGGGTCAAAGGTCAAGGTCACATTGACCTCTTAGGTAAAAACGGTTTCTGATCATTAACAAAAGAACCCTTAGGCCTAGGAACTTCAAACTTGGTATGGTGATTAGTCATGACCAGCAGATGACCCCTATTGATTTGGGGTTAAGGGGTCAAAGGTCAAGGTCACATTGACCTTGTAGGTAAAAACGATTTCAGATCAATACCGAAAGAACCCTTAGGCCTAGGAACTTCAAACTTGGTATGGTGATTGATCATGACCAGCAGATGACCCCTATTGATTTTGGGGTTAAGGGGTCAAAGGTCAAGCTCACATTGACTTTGTAGGTAAAAACGGTTTCCGATCAGTAACGAAAGAACCCTTAGGCCTAGGGACTTCAAACTTGATATGGTGATTGGTCATGATCAGTAGGTGACCCCTATTGATTTTGGGGTCAAGGGGTCAAAGGTCAAGGTCACGTTTACCTCTTAGGTAAAAACGGTTTCCGATCAATAACTAAAGAACCCTTAGGCCTAGGAACTTCAAACTTGGTATGGTGATTGGTCATGACCAGCAGATGACCCCTATTGATACTGGGGTTAAGGGGTCAAAGGGCAAGGTCACATTGACCTTGTAGGTAAAAATGCTTTCAAATCAATAACTTAAGAACCCTTTGGCCTAGGAACTTCAAACATGGTATGGTGATTGGTCATGACCAGCAGATGACCTATTGATTTTGGGGTCAAAGGTCAAGGTCACATTGACCTTGTATGTTAAAACGGTTTCCGATCAATTAACTAAAAACGCTTAGGCCTAGGAACTTCAAACTTTGTATGATGATTGGTCGTGACCAGCAGATGACCCCTATTGAGTTTTGGGTCAAGGGGTCAAAGGTTAAGGTCATGACCAGTAGATACTTGATAACCCTTATTAATTGTTTGATCACTGGGTCAGAAGTCATGCATAATAACCTTTTCACATGACTAATTGGCTGCTGGAAGGGGGCATACATGTTTTACAAACATATCTTGTTTTATATTAGAAAATATCGGCAATGCTAACGTTACACAGTCTCTTTGTAAATAGAATATGTACTTGTTTTGATTTCCAACAAAGTAGATATAATATGTGTAAAACTCTGCACAATAAAAATGTTCTATATAAATGAATATATAATAGTGTCATTTTTTAAAAAAGATCTGTGATAGGGAACACAGCTCTCCATACATAGTTTATTCTTTCTTTTATTCAAATAAGACATATTTATTCAAATAAGATATATTTAGTATGAATTTCATAGATTTAACTAATTTCTGTGATTAAAATATTTTACTAAAGGATGAGCCTAGTATGATGGGTGTCCCAGAATTACATGGACTTTTGCTGTAACTCAAAAACTACTGAAAACAAACAAAATTAACATGAAAAAAATACAACTTTATTGCATTAGTACAAAAAATTTCAAAGTTGTCCGGCAACTGGATCAGTGTCTGTGGGCAGGGTAATGAGACAAGGGGTAGCGGGTGCGGGGCAGTCCATTCCGACGTTACGACGTCATTCCGGTGGCGTCGCTAGTTGTTAATAAATGCGTGGCGTCGAATGTCAGTTTTTCTCAACATAGTCGCCGCCTAACTCAATACACCTATGGTGTCGATATATCCACTGGTCGTACACCGCCCTGTACCACTCCTGGTCGAAATCAGCCACCACTTTCTGCGTTGCGATCGAGAGTTCCTGGAAGGAATCGAACTTCAGTCCCTTATCATTATTATTATTATTATTATTATTATTATTATTATTTATCATTATTCTTTTAATTATTATTATTATTATTATTATTATATACTTATTATTATTATTTTTATTATTATTATTATTGTGGAGTTTATTTTGTACGCAAAGACAATGTGCGTTAACAAGGGAAATAACTTATCATGCGCACTGCTTTCTATAGCAGTTTGAGTTCACTTTCTTAAAATCTGAAGCATATAAATTGCGTTTTAAATAATTAATTGTGATAAGCTTAATTTTTAAAAATCATTTTTTAAACACAAAATTACTGCTTACCCTTGAATAGTACTCAGCATTGACCTTGGTGTAACGCCTGTCCCGATCTATGACGTCCTTGACTTCCTTAATTGACGCCGCAGTCAACGTTGACTTTCTCCCACGACTCTTGTCGTCTTTAATGTCCTCCCGGCCGTCTCGAAAACTCTTATGCCACTTGAAAACGAGTGATCGACAAACAGGAGGTTTCACTTTTGCAGTCTCCAACATTTCCTGCGTCTGTGTTGGCGTCTTCCCAAGATTAACACAAAACTTGATGATAGTCCGATGTTCCGCGTAATCCGTGGACGTCATTTTTGTTAAATATCCAAGAGCAACAGTTGTCAGTTGTCCGCTGGTAAACAATAACGGAAACAGCTATGACGTCAAAATTTCAAACGAGCGTTCATATGACGTCAATGCATATGCTTACGACGTCGCGCCATTTTTTACGTATACATACGCAAGAAATACGAAAGTAAAGACTACTTATTAATACAAAATATTGGACTGCCCCGCCCTGCGCATACTGCGTTACTATAGCGACGTAAAATATAAAGAAGCAATGTTAGAAATTTAAAAATAATGGACATACATGTATTCATTAAGGATAATTATGTTAAAGGTATTGTGTACAAATTTGCTAAAAAATGCATTAAAAAATAAAAAAAAAGTTATAGCAAAAGTCCACGTAATCTGGGACACCCCTCGTATATCTTTTACAAAAGTTTTATCAATTTATTGTTTTCATGATATTATATAAACATATTAATTATATGATTGATCATTTACTAACAAATGTGTGAAGGAATTTTTCATGCTATGTTGTTTGTTAAACATTTTAAATTGTAACCTAGAAACTGGTGAACATTTATAACATAAATACTTTACAATACACATGGTTTTGTATAATACAGGATTTGTTGTCTTTATTTCATTTATTTGCTCGACACTGTTGATATGTGTCGACTTACTAGCTTTACCGTTGGGGAAAATCTTAGTTGACCTCCTTCCATTAGTAATTAATGACCCAGACATCCAAGGAGAACAACTCACCTTCATGGTAACTTATAATTAATTAACTTTCTCACAAGAACAAAGCACAGTTCCTACTAGGTTTTTAACCTGCAGCAGTTAGGGCCAAGTGAATGTATCGATCATAACCACTCAGCCAAATAAAATTTACATTTGTTATTGGCATTGAAACTGTAAAAAATAAAAACAAATGTCACTTATGAGGCCGCACATTAAACGAGCAAACCATTTGCGTCATTAAACTTGACTTTAATATTCGGTAAGCATGACAATATAGTATCTTAAATACATGTTTTTAAACAATCATTCAGCCCGTTGTACGTTTTATTTCAAATTCTACAGGCAACTAATTTTGTGAATAATGTCTACCCATAAAGGAAAGCATGTTACATTTACATTTTACAAAGCGCTCGTAAACATTTTGTGTAGGGGAACTACGTTGAACATTTAGCAAAACTGTAACTTCAACATTTTACAGGTGGCGCCTTAAAATAAGGAAAACGGTGTTGTTTACATGAAGCTGTAATGATATGATATGAATCTTTTATAATGTTTGTATTGTCATATTAAAAATTGTATAAGCAAACTTCTATGTCGTATCCGCCGAAGATTGTATGGCTATACCACGTGACTTTTTGTGTTTTGCGTGGGAAAAAAACCCCAATACAAAAGACGGTCCACATTTTAATTTCTATAATAAATCGTTTATTATTTGAAAATATATTTTATGAAATAAAGTATAGAGCCTACTCATTCTAGCGAGGAACCTATACACAAAATGTTTTATGGAAATTGTTTTTTTGTTTTAGAGAAAGCGCTTGAATATCTGATTATTCAAAGACGCGGTAACACTTACCATAGAAATGTTGACATTTGCGGAAGGCATCGTATGAAGATGATACTAGTATGACGGGTTATTTACACTTGAAAAAATATAAATGCTTAGAAATGTATAGAATTAGATGAGATATTGGTCATCTATTGTATTGCTTTGGGTTTTTTTTGTTCTTTTTCTTTTTTTTTCTTCTTTTTTTGCCCCATGTAAATCATAAAATGTCACGTGATTTAGTTACCGTGGTTAACGGGTGATTGCTTTAAGATAACGCTTATAGGTTTCGTATATTACTTGTTTACTCCGACATCAAATGGATGAGTTAATAGCCCGCCTGTAAAGCAAAAGATATACGTATTATTTGCATGACTTTTAATAATAGACGATAATGTCGACGTCATACTTATACAACTTGGGAATAAAAGAAAAGAGAAATCAGTTTAAAAAAACGTACTAGTACGTATTAATAAAATCGTGTTGGTATAAAAATGGTCATGGCTGGATAAAGGAATTTAATTAATTAAGCCATTGAAACGTCTATGTGTTTCAAATAGTTAAAACTACTAAATGGCTTTATTATTACTGTTTTTGCCCCGGTGTAGCGTGAGATTCGTCAGACCCGTGAAAAATGTAAGATCTTACGAATCTCACGGGAGGGTCGTGAAAAATGTCAGACGTGAGAAACGTAAGACTATTTTAGTGGAGAACATTTCCTGTTGCAATTAAATACTGTCAATATTTCATTGCATCAATAAAGTAATGGTTAAAGCGAAGGAGTTTGACTGTTTTTACGAGTAAATAATAACAATTTTAATCAATGTTTCGGCTTTAAAATAGCCGCTCGGATGGTCATGGTTTTCTACAAATTAATTTGGATTTTTATATTTTGCATAGATCTACTATGAAGTAAATATGAAGTAACTAATGGACCACTCCTTATGTTTTTAAAATAAAAACATACAGTAGTGAATGTTGCTGTCCATCTATGAGTGAATTACACAAATGCCGAGTAGTAAATTGAAATCATCTTGTTCGGCCCTAAATGAACTCGACCGAGATGTTCATCTCAGCCACGATCTGCATCCGTTCAAATAATCCTTATGATCTGTTAAGAAATTATCAACAGACGTTTTGTGATAAATAATAACACCAGCGGGTATTAATTAATTTTACATAGGGTAATACTTGAACAGGCTGGTGCTTTAAACCTATAGATACCACACTGTGACAGACCCAGCACAGTGTTGGGATAGTGTAAAAAGGTAATTCTAAAAAAAAAAATACTGTATATATAATATATAGACTTTATTATATATACAGTATATATATTTTTTTAGAATTACTTTTTTACACTATCCCAACACTGGGCTGTGTCCCTGTGATAGATACCTTTTATCACAGACACTTGGGGTGCCTTTAAAATCCAAATAAGATATATCTTTGTCAATCCCAGCACATGTACTGATCATATATGTAAAAAAAATTAATATAAGCTGTTTTGAAAAAAAAAATCATATTTCAAGGTCTAAAATAATACACACACACGAGCTCCACATCCCAAGTGTCTGTGCCTTTTAACTGCACTGTGCTGTCCTATAAACTTACATGCTAGAAGATCTTTCGTTTTAGCAGAGGAGATCTACACATTCTTTCAAGCATCACTGGTTGCAGAATACACTATTGCAGGAATGATTGGGTACCAAATTTATTTTAAGCACCAAACTATAATCTTACAGCAATGCTACACCAATAAATCAAAGTTCCTGGCAAGTTCAAACACAACCATAGTTAGGTGCTCAACATTTTATATTTCCAAATAATGTATAACCCCAAAAAACATGTTTCAATCATAAACATGATCTTTAGACTTGTAATCAAAATTTCACTTTTCAAGTCATTACAGTCAGGTAATAAACATAAATTATAACTGAAGAAATAGAGGATAGCCAAGTTTTTTCTATAAATACAATATTTATTTTCATTGCGTGGTATAAACATAAATATTTCATGAGTGGTGGTTGCCACAAGTGAAACATGATAATTTTCATACTACAAACTATTTATTATATGCATTTCTCTTTTTTGACATCACAATATGAAAAACTAACTCGGCTGAATATAGCAGAAATTAGTCTGGCAAGACACCGGTGAAAATATGTTTCACTGCAGTAAAAAATATTTTTTTTGCAGTGAAAATAAGGAAAGTGAAAATAAGCATTTAATTTCATCAATATTTCTCAAAATTTTAAGTATGTAATAAAGAAACATAACCTGGAAATACCATATTTCCAGCTTGGAAAGAGGTGCACATCTTGTCTTGGAAATGTTCTTTTATATTCGTTTCTGCCGGGTACTTACATACCAGTCGAATACCAAATATTAAATAAATACCCAGATTCTTTCATATATATCAAAACACAAATCAGCAAAACAGTTGTACAAAAATTAATTTTATCAATAATTAATATATTAATTTTAAGTAAGTTATTTTACTGTTTACTATCTTTAGGGGGGCGGGATATAGTGGGTTTATAATAAAACTGACACTGGAGAAGTCATATGGCAAGTTTCAACCATAACTGGAGTGAAGAAGGAAGATACACTTAGATATCATTTCTGGCTTGCACCAGAATAAAACTTATAATATAAGTATACTTAGACATTTTATATACTTTATATTTATCAGTATTTGTCCTAGATGCTAACTGCTTGCTAGATAGTCTCAAATTAAGAGTATTTTTTTCCTTATCAGATCTGAATTATCCATGCTAGAGGTATTGGTAAACATGTCACAACAACAATTTCTTGCATATCAGACAGGATAATCTACTGTTTGCGCGGGTGCTAAAAAACCTTGCTTACACCCCTGGCTTTAAAGGGAATTTCTAGCTCACGGGTAACTGTTTACAGAAAACTCTGCAGAGCATATTGCCGAAAACAATTATGCTTAAGCTAGATGTTCAGATCTGTACTGACAGCTGGTGTAAGCTATGTGGCTATTTTTAGAACAGGCCTCTTATCAGTGACGTATACGATGCTTATCTCAGATCGTTCCCTATTATTATAAAAACATGATTAAAGCAGGATAAATCAAATACATGGTTGATGTCGGGATGGAGAAGGTTTATCCGGTTCGCTGCGAAAGTGAATCTTGGTTCGCTAAAGCTCGCCAAGATACACTTCCTCGCTCACAGGATAAACCTTCTCCATCCCGACATCAACCATGTATTTTCTATATATCAATAATATGGTTCCAACAACAGAGAGTGATAAAACAAACCAATATATTAACACTGATAATCAGATTAATAAATTTTTAAGTGGGCCGAGTTGGTGTTTGGACTTTACACCTCCTGGATGTTTCACCCCTGGACGTTTCACCCTCAAAACCCTGGTGTTTTCACCTCCACTTTTTAAATTTGATAAATATATGAAATAAATACCATTATGGGTTATAATATTATATATAATATAACACATACTTACAAACAATTACATACATGAAGAAGATTTTTTTGACATAAATATAGTGAAA